CGTGACAATATATCGGTTTCATTTACCACTAACCAGTCTGATGTTTTCTTTTTGATACTGAATCTTAGTTGTGTGCAGGGTAGCTACAGTCATGGCCGAAATTGTTGGCACCCTTGATATTTCTCCAGGAAATCATGTATTTCTCACGAAACGTATTGCATTAACACATGTTTTGCTATACACATGTTTATTCCCTTTGTGTGTATTGGGACAAAACAAAAAAAAGGGAGGAAAGAAAGCAAATTCGACATAATGTCACACAAACCTCCAAAAATGGGCTGGACAAAAGTATTGGCACCCTTTCACAACTGCGGATAAATAAGAATGTTACAAGCATGTGATGCTCCTGTAAACTCACCTGGGGCAAGTAACAGGTGTGGGCAATATAGAAATCACACCTGAAAGCAGATAAAAAGGAGAGACGTTCACTTAACCTTTGCATTGTGTGTCTGTCTGTGCCACACTAAGCATGGACAACAGAAAGAGGAGACGAGAACTGTCTGAGGACCTGAGAACCAAAATTGTGGCAAAATATCAACAATCTCAAGGTTACAAGTCCATCTCCAGAGAACTAGATTTGCCTTTGTCCACAGTGCGCAACATTATCAAGAAGTTTGCAACCCATGGCACTGTAGCTAATCTCCCTGGTCGTGGACGGATGAGGAAAATTGATGAAAAGATTGCAACGCAGAATAGTCCGGATGGTGGATAAGCAGCCCCAAACATGTTCCAAAGACATTCAAGCTGTCCTGCAGGCTCAGGGAGCATCAGTGTCAGCGCGAACTATCCGTCGACATTTAAATGAAATGAAACGCTATGGCAGGAGACCCAGGAGGACCCCACTGCTGACACAGAGACATAAAAAAGCAAGACTACAGTTTGCCAAAATGTACTTGAGTAAGCCAAAAGCCTTCTGGGAAAACGTCTTGTGGACAGATGAGACCAAGATAGAGCTTTTCGGTAAAGCACATCATTCTACTGTTTACCGAAAACGGAATGAGGCCTACAAAGAACAAAACACAGTACCTACGGTAAAATATATGGTGGAGGTTCAATGATGTTTTGGGGTTGTTTTGCTGCCTCTGGCACTGGGTGCCTTGACTGTGTGCAAGGCATCATGAAATCTGAGGATTACCAAAGGATTTTGGGTCGCACTGTAGGGCCCAGTGTCAGAAAGCTGGGTTTGCGTCCAAGATCCTGGGTCTTCCAGCAGGACAATGACCCCAAACATACGTCAAAAAGCACTCAGAAATGGATGGCAAAGAAGCGCTGGAGAGTTCTGAAGTGGCCAGCAATGAGCCCAGATCTAAATCCCATTGAACACCTGTGGAGAGATCTTAAAATTGCTGTTGGGAAAAGGTGTCCTTCCAATAAGAGAGACCTGGAGCTGTTTGCAAAGGAAGAGTGGTCCAAAATTCCGGGTGAGAGGTGTCAGAAGCTTATTGATGGTTATAGGAAGCGACTGATTTCAGTTATGTTTTCCAAAGGGTGTGCAACCAAATATTAAGTTAAGGGTGCCAATACTTTTGTCCAGCCCATTTTTGGGGTTTTGTGTGACATTATGTCATATTTGCTTTTCTGCCTCTGTTTTATATTTGTTCCAATACATACAAAGGGAATAAACATGTGTATAGCAAAACATGTGTTAATGCAATACCTTTTTTGTGTGAAATACTTGATTTTCAGGAAAAATATCAAGGGTGCCAACAATTTCGGCCATGACTGTATATTTGTGCTCCCAGAAGCTGTGAAGTATCAGTTGCTTAACTGCTGTGTCAGTGGAGCTGAGGTTGTTCTCAGAGTTGAGGCTGAAGAACAGATTCACCCACCAAGTGGCTCCTGCGCGGTAGCACTGCACCTGTAAATTATGGCAAACATAATTACTCTGTGATCACAGTTTCCTAAATTATCCCCTACTCCCACATCTGCAATCAGCTGTGTGTTGTTTGTAATTAGTAGGTCCAGCACAGCATTGTTTCTAGTTTGAGCTTCCACCATTTGACTCATGAAATTGTCCTGCATTACGATCAAGAAACAATTAGCTAAGTTGAGTGCATGGTTCCATTTGCCCAGTCAGCATCAGGATAGTTGAAGTGCACCATCATTATAACATTGCCCTGCCATCACATAAGCCTCGTACACAAGACGAGAATATCGCACAAATGATTGTTCGTTTTTTTGTTTGTGCATGCTAGTCTCATATCAAAAATGAAGAGGTAACTAAAGTTATGAAAATTCTCGTACAATACAACTTCGGAATTGATATAATGTGTTGTATTGTATTGTAGTGTATGCATGGTCTTGGTCTTTATTTTTTTTCCGGACGAATACTGTACTGATTAAACGAAAATAATTAGTTCTGGTATCTTACAAGAAAAAATTTTGTTTGTTCCTTCGGAGAATTTCACATGATCTCTCGAACACTGTGTACTAACGCTCAGATTATCGAATGATTTATTCAAAAGCGGTATCTTTCATCTGATTTTTTGATCATGTGTACTAAGCATAACTGTGAAAGAAGATGGGTCTCTTCCTCATCCTTGTTGTTAGGGGGCCTATAGCCTACCCCCACATTTATTTTATCCCTTTGAAGCTCCAGCCACAAAGACTCCACCCTATCACCAGCCCCGATAACAATGTCATCCTTCATATTCACTAACAAATAGCTCTGGACATACAAGCACATCCTTCCCTCTCTTCTACCTACCCTGTCCCACCGACACAGGGAATAGCCCCGGGCAGTGGCAAGCCAAATCTCCCACCGAGAGCTGCACCCTCCCCATTTAGGCGCAGCCTGTCACTGCTGTAAAGCTGGTAAGAGACTGCAAAGTTGGCCTAGTTCTCCATGAACCCCAAACCCTCTTTACACCAGTTCCTTAGCCACTTGTTTCTCTCTCAAAACTCCTGTTGCCTCTCTGGTGTGGCTTGTTATGCAGGTAGTATTTTTGGGAATAGTACATTGGAGATTTTTTCTTTAGTATAGCACCATGAGTTCGACCCAAACCCAAGCTGTTCGCCAAATAGTTGAACTAAATGACCAGATTTGGCATGCTCACCCAAACCTTGAGCTGTTGCAGCCAAAAGTCATTCATTTAGTATTATTACCACCACTATTTGACAACTTTTTCATTTTTCATTGTGATTGACTTTGGATCTATATCACTGAACAATATGGCTGATTTACATCATGGGACATTGTTTATTTAGTAAAGCACTTTTTCTAAGGTGTGGGTATTTTTATTTACTGTTTTACTTTTTTTTTTTTTTAATGAGTAACGAGGGGCACTATGTATCCCATATTGATTCATATAGGAAGGATGCCCAAGTATCTGGGAGCCCCCTTATTTTAAAAGGGGCTTCCAGATTCTGATAAGTCTTCCCCATGCAGACCCCCACATTTATCAGTCTAGTGATATGGGGATAAGGCTCTTGTCTCCATCAACATGGGGACAAGGTGCCTTGCAGAGGGAGCTTCCCACTGTTGAGGGCATGTAGCCTGGTATGTTACCGAAGGAGGATTGCACACTCACTGCTCCCCCTTTCCTGACCAGCCAGGTCACACACCTGAATTATAGTCTGCTATGGTTTTGGTGGCAACACATAATGTTTTTTTTTTTTTTATGAGACCCCCATTGATATCCATACCAGATCATTTTCTAAAGGCTAAAAAAATGAAACGGGCCCAAACTATAAATCTATACCAGATCCTTAACCAGTAGATAAGACTCTAGTATGATTATAGAGGGAGGCCCATGCTGTTTTTTTTATAAGTTTAGCAGCAATAGTTTTTTTTCTCTAAATGTCACTATTGCAGGAACACATTAAATAGATGCACTACTTCACATGCAGTTTTAAGGAATCGCCCAAGCATGTCAGGTAAAGAATTGTGTACTGGAAATGTTGCTCTTTAAACCTTAATAATGGACCTGCTTCATGCTAAACAGTTTTTTTTGTACATGTGCTACATAACAATGCCCAGCTACCTATTTTTTGGGGGTTTTTTTAGTAACGTAGGCCAAAAAATATAGAACATTCGTCTCACATAAACTTCAATGAGGTTTGGTCACTATGTTTAGGGTTCACAGATTTCAGGTTCTCTTATGAACCAAAGGCCAGTTTTCACTTTTAAAAAACATTTTCAAATTCATCCCTAATCATACCCACAAGCAGATCCTTCATTTGTTTGGTAATACTGTAGTATAAGAAATATATACAGAATATGAAAGAAGGAGCCACTGCTATAAATACCGAATGCACAATTTGTTCTTCCTGTTAATGTATTAGCTCTGAAGATGAACATAACCTGGATTATTTCCCAAACATAAAAACTGATTAGTACACTGCATTTCATCATTCATTCATACATCTGTAGAACTCTTACATTGTCACCTATTTGGACACGTCAAAATGAATAAAGGGTTGGTCTACACACAATCGGTATTTCAGTTTTGGGTAAATGAGGAGTCAAATCATCTGAAAATATATTATCTTTTGAATCTGCACATCTGTTATACCCATTATGAAAGAGTCTTGCTTTCCTTCATTAATAATTTATATTATGCAGAATGCAGTAGGAGGAGTAGGAACAACCACAACTTCTAGGTAAACAGGAGCAGAGATGTGGCAATTAGGTATTTCTATGTGAGTATTCAAAATTAGAAAAGAAACTAGGGACTGCCTCAACGCAGTAGTTTTCGCTTTTAACTAAAGTTACGTATATATACTGTGTGTATGTATATAAATACTGTATATATCATTTTTTTTTTTACATGCAAAATGAAATATTACTGCATTTGATTTTGTTGTCTTCTGAAGTGATTTTTCCACTTAAAGTTGACAAGTTGTTCCTGACATTACGTTGTACACAAAATATTGTATTTATGCTGTTAATACTGTTTGTTGAGAAAACAGAGTGAACTTGATTTATATATGTATGATCCCAAAACTGGTCATGTCTTTGCTTCTCTCTGACATCCTTATACTCTGTGTTCTGTTCTCAGAGATTATAGACTGTGGTCCATGTGATGATGGCTGTACAGGAGGATACACATGGGATGCATACATCACTGTTCTAAAAGAAGGTAAAAGATATATATATTTACTATGAGGCACTGGCGGGTAAGGTTGTGGGTGGCACACATGCATCACCTAGGTTTTTCACCTACACATGGTAAGGGGTTCCAGGGTTTGTATCTGTTATTTGTTTTCTCCTCTCCTGGGTCCTGGAGCCTGCAGACATTGTAGAACTTTGGATAGGAAAAGCCTCCAATTTTAGATCTGCATCTTAGGTCTTCGTTCCAATCAGTGATCTGACTGATGCTCACTGCTGTCTCTCTCCCTTTGTCTGCCTTGGGAGACTGCTGCTGGGTGAAAAGGCTGATTGCTGACAGAACAATAAAAAGTACAAAGCTGTCTGTTTGTTTTAGGGAACCCATTAGGGGGCACCCTACTAGTTGGGAACTGCCACATATGTAATTAGTGGCTCAGGCAAGCAGACATTTTGTTTGTTTTATGCTACAGATATGCTGTACAAAGTCCTACATTGAAACTGCGTTTGGTTACTACCTTGTAAAAATGCAGAATAAACTTGTTTGGACTATTACTTGGCTTCCATGTCATTGGTTACCACTGTCCCCTTACACTATAATTAGTAAAACCTCTTTCCCCAATCATTGACCAATATTGACCCATTTGTGTTTGGTGAAATGCAGAGTTGATTTATTTATCTTCTTACAATGAAAAAAGGATGTGAATTGGTAGACCATTTGTGTACCTAATGTATTTCCTTTATTTTACCTTCAAATAATGTATGGCAGTGACTCAATAATTTGTATCATTTACTCCACATTTTGGCACTGTTACCTGTATGCCTGCATTAAATATAATAAATAAAATGTGAATGTTAATTGATCTGATTTAGATAAAAAATATTTGGGATACATCTTGTTTTTCTAATATCATGCATACTAATTAAAGTGATTGTAAAGCTTGTTTTTTTTCTGAAAATAATAAACACGTTATACTTACCTGCTCTGTACAATGGGTTTGCACAGAGCAGTCCTGATCCTCCTCTTCTAGAGTCCCCTACAGACAATCTTGGCTCATCCTCTTCTCCAAGCTTTGTGCTGTAGGGGCACTGGTGGAGGCTCGATCCTCAGCCGGGCTGTGTGTGTCCCTAGACACACACAGTGTGGCTTGACCCTGCCCTCTGCTTCCTCCTCACAGGCTTTGACTGACAGCAGCAGGAGTCAATGGCTCCCACTGCTGCTGAGTCTCTTATGAGAAGAGAGATGGGGAGAACAGCTGCTGCAGACGGGCACAACGCTGGATCGAGATTGGGCTTAGGTAAGTGCTTAAGGCGGGGCTCAAGGGAGTAGCTTTTGAAAAGCTTTTTCCTTAATGCAGAGAATGCAGCTCATCACACTGCAAGCATCAATCCACAACTGCAGTGCCAACTTCAAGTCTTTGCATGTGCAACAACATGAATTTGTTAGCAGGTCGCTCTAGCAGCACCATTTTTGAATTGCCACAAAGGCACTGTAAGGAGTTGTAGCCTGCACACTGCAAACTTTATGGTACCTAGCTCCCAGGGACAAATCCTCACAATGGGGACTGTCCCCGAGAAACAGGAACGAATGGCAACCTTACTATGGCTCCCTTCATGGATACAGTCGAATCAGCATATCCACTCCCAGCCAAGGACAGGAAATGTGTTATTTGAAGGATTTCCAGTTGAAAATAAAGGGAAAAATAACACTGGCACTTTCTCTAAGAACTGGTAAGCTGCAATATATTGTTTTTGGGTTTAGATATGCTTTATGTTCTTTGTGCATTAACATACTTTTTTTTTTTTTTTTTTTAAGGAGGATTAGTTAGTGAGGATCAATACCCATATTACGCTGTAAGAAAAGAATGTAGAAAAGGTCTTTCACCTGTAGCATGGATCCATGATTTTCAGATGCTTGCAAAGAATGAGACAGGTGAGAATGGTCCTACCAAGGCCTTAATTTCTAAATCTGAAAGTAGTTATAACAAATACCAAAAGACATTTAAAACCTCCTACTTGCTACTTCTATTTTTCACAGGAGCTTTGTTATCTTTACCTACACCAACTCATTGATGTTCATTATGTCCAAGCATAGCTTAAAAGATAATGCCTTCCAATCACTTTAAAGGGAAAGTATAGTGTATTTTCAACCAATATATTTGAGTTTCTATTGTAGCGTTTACCTGAAAGTAATTTGTTATGTGACTTTCACTTTTTAAAATACTTGCTCTTCCTTTTTTGAGATTGTATTAAATGTAAAGCTTTGTAGATTAGCCTCTAGACCAGAGGTCTTGAATTAAAATTTACGGAGGTCCGGTTCAGCAAAATTTCCTTCCAGCAGAGGTCCGAATCTCATTAGCGATATAACACATTACAGTCCCCCGGTACATTATCATCTTTAGCGTACCTTTCACACTGTAGTCCCCTATACATCACAGTCCCCTCTTTAAATTACAGTGCCCCTTTAAAACATCACAGTGCCCCTAAACACACAACACAGCGCCCCTTGAGACAACACAGCGCCCCTTGAGACAACACAGCGCCCCTTGAGACAACACAGCGCCCCTTGAGACAACACAGCGCCCCTTGAGACAACACAGCGCCCCTTGAGACAACACAGCGCCCCTTGAGACAACACAGCGCCCCTTGAGACAACACAGCGCCCCTTGAGACAACACAGCGCCCCTTACCACAACACAGCGCCCCTTACCACAACACAGCGCCCCTTACCACAACACAGCGCCCCTTACACAACACAGTGCCCCCATCAAAACACAGCACCCCCCATCACAACACAGTGCCCCCTTAACATAACACAGTGCCCCTTTTAATGCAAGCCTTCCCCTGCACAGTCCTATGGCACCTTAGGCAGAACTAATCCTTCTGGGGTATCCTCATCTGGGCCTCCAGCCTGCCACTGATGTCATCTTCATAGCGGGCGGGGGTGGGAGGAGCTTTAGATCAGGATTGAGGGGCAGGAGCTGCCCAAGTTATTATGTTAACAAGTGGGCGATTGCCTGACTTGCTAATATGAAAAAACTCCCGCTTTCTGTCTCCAGCTGCAGAGAGTGAAAGTCTTTACATATTAACAAGCTCGGTAATCACCAGCTCCCGCCCCTCAGTCACGATCTGCAGCTCCTCACACCCCGCCCACTGTAAGGATGACATCAGTGGCTGAATGAGAGGCCTGGAAGAGGACACCCAGCCGTGGCAGTGGCATGGCTGCGGTCTGGACAGGACTGGCCCTTGGTCCAGTTCCGGACCGTGATCTGTGGTCCGCCATTTAGTGACCACTGCTCTAGAGACACAGAAGATTAGCTACTGCAATGACTTTGCTCATCTGCTTAACAGTTTTATAGAACAAGATTTTTATCACAGAGGTGCTGGGACTTCCTCACTTATTTGTTCCAAAACCTCAAAAGACCATACATTTTCAATGAGCTGACTTAGGCTGGTCATACATTAAGAACTTTTCTTTCCTTCAATTACAGGTTGAAGGACACTCTATGCCCCCATCAGCACATTCAGTATTGATGGGGGAATCGCATCTGCTGCACTATAGTATTCTGACAGAGGAAGGTTTCCCCACCATAAGAATACAATGATTACTGCCGCAGGTCATAGCTGGTGGCAGTAATCATGTAAAAAGCCCGACAGGCTGCTTGTACTAAAGTCGATCGATAGGTCAGCTTCAGTACAACCAGCCTGTCCATAGATGGATCAAATTCATCTGGTTCATATGGAACAACGTTTATATTTAGTGGTTACTCAGAAAAGTGACTGAAAGCATGTACATACACCCCAAGTGCCAAACTGATGGTGAAAGAGCCCAAAATATTATAAAAATTCATAAAATGATCATATGCAACAGCCAACCAGTTTTGTGGACCAAACACACTCCTATTTCTTCAGGGCTCTGATATTTTTACTGTGCTTAGATGGACTCAGAGATGCAGAGCCCAGATAGATCTATTGTTTTTGCTTGGAAAGGTTTCGGTGGTGCAGATTGTACCAGTGTGTTAACAGTTGCAGCAAACCTGAAACCTGTTTCTCAGCAGAAAACTAAAGATCCATCTGGTATCTGCTTACTGGAGTCAGTCTAAACGTGGTTCAAATTTCTGAGCCCCGATGGCTTTTTGGCTTCACCCTTCGTAAATTCAGAAAGTTGAGAGCCTAAATACAAATCTCCATAAAGCCTATACAGGGCAAATCTTACAAAACCAATTCTGTGCATTTGCATAGGGAGATAGGTGCTGACATGGGGGGCATATACCATAGCAACAGGGGAAGAAGTCACATATTTTAATTACATGCTTGGGAAATGCTTTAAAGCTGTATGTGGTGTTACAGAACAGTATGATTCCCACTGACAGTGCCAGTGACACCTTATTCTGCCATCACATATTTAGTATGTGTAATAGTTTTTTTGAATCATTTTTACATTACTGCTTGGCATAAATACAGCATCAGCAGTAACACAATGTGATTCATTACAACTTGGAAAAAAATAGTTTTGGATGCATAGTTACATAATGATTAAAAAAAGACACAAGTCCATCCAGTTCAGCCAATAGAAGTTATACAATCCTATACAGTATACACAACCCTATACCCACAGTTGATGCAACACCTGTTTTTCTACCCAGTGGTAAAAGGCCTGAGTTGACCATTGGAAATAGCAGCCACAGCAGATTAAAAAGCTATAGCACAATACAGCACAGCGAACAAAGGGAGATACACACTTTGTAGCCCACCACACTGCAATTCACTGTAGTGTGGCACAATACAGCAACTGGGTACAGCATTTTTCAGCAGAAAATATGTATAGTATAGCAGAAATAATATCTTGTCGCAAAGACTGTGATCTCTCCCTATTTACTTGAGGTATCCAGCACACATTTACTGTGTGTATATGACTGACTGTAAATATATCAGTTTTCATCAGCAGTACTGTATTGTATTTTAAAGATTGGGAAACCGCGCAAAACTGTGCAAAAACAGGTGGAGAGGAGTTCTGGAAGGAGAAGTGTCTCCTCTTGTGTGCTTCAATAGCCATCCTGGGGAGGAAAGTTGCTCGATTGGATGATGAAATACTGCAAGATCTTTGGCGGCGACATTGGACGAGATAAAAATGGTGCCCCACATCATTTGGGTGTGCCTGGAGTATGTGTATGTGTTTGTGGACAGGGACAGAACCTCGATGGTTTGAATCAGGATAAATAGAGCAGGGAAAGGTTCCAGATCAGAAGGGACAAGTCAGGGTCCTCTCCCTGTGAATATTACACACTGGTATCTAGTACAGGAAAATTGGACAGCTGCTAATAGCAGGGGGTTGTGTCAACAGTCACATAGTGCAATGCTACCACACTTCTGGTACTTGTAATTGTGGGACAGTCTATGCTAAGCTGAATATTCTGTTACTGCTGTTCTATTGCTCCTCTCTCATCAGTGCATTACTGAAACTGTTTGTAAATGTTTAAACCAATAGAAGATTAATACAGGTAGACTGGACAGTGTTTCTCCCGAATTGGGTGCATTCTTCTTAGGCCCTGCTTGCACTTGGTGTAGTCAGCAGGATGCTGGAAAATATGTCCTCCTTGCAGGACGTAAGCTGAGGTACCACATTTGAGTAGTCGAGTTACTATATTTGAGCATCAGTGCCAAATCAACCCTTTGAATGGTCGCCTGTGTTTGATGTTGTTGTGGAAGATCAGGGGGGACTACAGAAACGCTTTCATCGGACTATGTTACAACTTTGTGTTTTTTGAATCAGACTCCTTCTTCACACTTTACAGTTCATGATGGTGACGGGATGGGGACTTGCCCTGATTAGGGAGGCTCCTCTAGAGTGGTTTATACCCACATGGAAGAAAAATATATTTTAAATCTACTTTCAAAATATATATATATATATATATATATATATATATATATATATATATATATACAGTTGCAAGAAAAAGTATGTGAACCCCTTGGGATTACGTGGAGTTTTGCATGAATTGGGCATAAAATGTGCTCTGAACGTCATCTAAGTCACAACAATAGAAGAACACAGTCTGCTGAACATAATACTACAAAACATTAGATGTTGCCATGGTTTAATTGCACATAACATGTAAACATTCACAGTGCAGGGAGGAAAAAGTATGTGAGGCCCTAGCTTAATGACTTCTCCCAGAGCTAATTGGAGCCAGGAGTGAGCCAACCTTGACTCCAATCAGTGTGATGATATTGGATGTGTTGCTGACAGCTGTCCTGCCCTTAAAAAAACACACACCTGTTTTGGGTTTACTGGTTTCAAGAAGCACTGTCTGATGTGAACCTGCCTCGCAGAAAAGAGCTCTCAAAAGACCTACGATCAAGAATTGTTGACTTGCATGAAGCTGGAAAGGGTTACAAAAGTATCTCCAAAAGCCTTGATGTTCATGTGTCCACGGTAAGACAGACTGTCTACAAATGGAGAAAGTTTAGCACTGTTGCTACTCTCCCTAGGCGTGGTCGTCCTGTAAAAATGACTGCAAGAGCACAGCGCAGAATGCTGCATGAGGTAAAGAAGAATCCCAGAGTGTCAGCTAAAGACCTACAGAAATCTCTGGCACATGCTAACATTTTTGTTGACACATCTACAATAAGGAAAACATTAAACAAGAATGGAGTACATGGGAGGACACCACGGAGGAAGCCATTGCTGTCCAAAAAGAAGATTGCAGCACGTTTGAAGTTTGCAAAAGAGCACCTGGATGTTCCACAGCACTACTGGCAGAATATACTGTGGACAGATGAAACCAAGATTGAGTTGTTTGGGAAGAACACACAACACTATGTGTGGAGAAAAAAGGCCCAGCACATCAATATCAAAACCTCATCCCCACTGTGAAACATGGCGGAGGGAGCATCATGGTTTGGGGCTGCTTTGCTGCCTCAGGGCCT